TAATTTCAGAATTTCATTACAAATTCAATACAATCCTAGAAAGTCGTGGCAATCATTCTTTTCCTTACAACAATCAAATTTATATAATTTATAACTGATGTAGGCTGACTATGTCAATGGCATTCATATTCCATCTCGTTTACTTCAAACAAGTTCATAGAGTAAAAGTTCACACCAAGTTCCAGAAAGGAGAAAGTTGTTATCATACGCTCAAACTTGACCAGGAGCACTATTTCCCAATTTCAAAAGATCAAAATCAAATTCTCCACCAAGTTATACCACTTTCACAGATTCGAATGGCAAATTTAACAAAACATTGGAGGGAATTTCTATGGTGTTCACAAAAAACTTCTTTCATTGCAAATTTGACTTTCTCTCTGCGTTATAATGGCCTAAGCACTACTTGTGATAACAAACATGGCAATGTCAATACAGCACAAAGCCTCGAGATCTAAGCTTACTTTTAAGACGGCTTATTGAATTCTTACTTAGAATAGGGTCCATTTAGGAATGAAAACAAGGCAGAAAAGGGAAAATTTAAAGGAAAAATTACACTATTTGGATATTATCAATGTATCAAATTCTGAATAACACTTTTATCGTTAATTTCATTCAATTTTAAGCAACATTGAAAGACAGCCTGATTCTATAATAATGTATACAATACATGTACCAGGTAGGTCTACATCTTATACACACAATCATGCGAAATCTAAAAATCAGTATATACAATTTACTGTTGACAAAACTTGTTTAAATGGAAAAAAAAGCTTGTCCAATTTTAAAAGGGTAAATAAAACATGACTGAAGTTAAACAGTATTAAGTGATTAGTAAATATAACAATACATTTCATGTTGTGATACATTATTAAGGTCATTTTTACAGATTTCAAATTTGAATTTTGGAATAAAAACTAGTAATCAGCTACAGTAGTCAGCTTTTTAACATTGTTAGAAAGCCTTTTGTGATGCACCTCTGTTGACTATACTAACTGCCCTTACTGTTTTCTTAAAATTTGATTTGCCTCTTTGCCTAAATATATTCTGTTTTCACTGCAAAGTCGAGATGAAGACTCGTGCCGACACAAGACACTTTACAAGACCATCCCTACACGACAGCACCCCGTCAGTTGTCAAGTTACACCTGAATTTGTGGAGTAGTTCTTGTTTTGAGGCGAAACAATGTATTCATGAGGGAAGTTTGGAATGGTTGGAATAAGGGTCGGAGAACCCAGGAGGTACTATGAAAATAGGTAAAGTGTTTCTGACGAGCTTTTCTCGGGTGCAGAGCTATCAGGATGGTGTTGTTATTTGTATGACTGGGGATTGTTATGAAGCCAAACAGCGGTTACATGTTTTAAGTCAAACAGACAGACTGCTCAGAGTCAGAGAAAGAGAGGATAGCAGAGGTGTTTCAATGCCCGGTGATTGAAAAGAATGAACAGATGAATTAGAATCCCATCTTCATTCTGTTTTATTTCACTTTACTCATCGAGTATCATAGTCTTACATTCAAAGTATAACATGCATATAGGCCTGTATTAAACATAAAATCAGTTTATTTCAGATAAAATCATTGATCTTCCTAGGAAAGGAACTTTATTACTTATTATTTAAGAATCCCTAAAACAAAATTGTAACTCCGCCAAGACTCTTACCTACCACAATACGTTAATATCTGCCACAGTGCATGTATCTTTACATGCATGTCGCCTATGATGTAGATCGATATCTAAATCAAATTTGTAATCAGACTATAAATAGAATCATTGACAACAAAAGCAATAACAAAATGAAAATAAACTCCTCTGTTCCTCGAAATTCTGTGTACATTGTGGTCAGCTTTGATAAGTATCAAGGTGTTTCTACACGAGCCACTGCTCGTGTGTGGCATCGTCCTCAGGTAGCATGACCATTGAGAGAAGCGTGTGGCATATATATATATCACCTCACATATATTCATTCCCAGGGTCTGTCCCATCCAGCTATCCATGAAAATATATTCCTATCAATTGAGCATCCCTAGCAAACCATGCCCTAAACAAAGCACCTTCAAAACAAACCTGAAAACTAACTGTTACTATATGTGAAGGCGTATTGTGAAGAGTGCTTTGTGGGGCTTCCATTGTCTACAGTGAAGATGAGGCTTGGATAAACAACAACTGAAAGTTGCCTAGTACAGAGAACTTTCAAGTGCAAAGAGTAAATATAAAGGATAAGGGAGAGTAAAGATGAGTAGACATTATTTACAGGCTTGGCATAGTCCCTACAACATTTATGTAAACTGGTGTATTGATCAAAATGAACAAAGAAATGTACATTCTACACGAATGTGACGAGACGTTGCCTGGCAATGAAACTGTATGCAATTATTAGCCTAAGGCTAGTACAGGATGTGAATTGTAATGAACCCGGTCTATACTGCCATGTAATTTGAAATGAACACTACCAAAGGGCAAGTTCTGCAGAATATGACAGAAACATATCAATCATCCATATTTACTGAGAAGAAATAGGAAAACACATGCAACATAACAAATAAAAGACCGACAAAATGTTATTGAACCATAAGAAAGATGATTTGTCTGAATATAGGCTAGTCTAAATAAAGGAAAAAATATCTACGAAAAAAGATAAAAGCATAGGCATTGTGCAGACAGAGGTTTCTTATTCAGCAATGTTCTCCTATCATTCACCATTCAAAGACATATTATGAATCAGAGATTTATTTAGCTAGACTAGGTTTCCACACCATGGAGAGTTAAGGCAAATAAATACATGTTGGTTAATATAACCGTCATGTGAGAACTTGTTGACTAGACAGCACTAACACCGTATGCGGCACAGAACTATACACTTGCTTTGACTTTTTGAGAGAGATATCAAGTGAAACATCTCCATTTCTCCTCATCTTATCCCAAGCTCTTTGTCTCCCTTCCCTTCTTACATGCCTCACAACACTTTCATTCATCTTATTTTTCTGTGTCAAAGGTACTGTTTTCTGTTTAACAGTTTGACAAAGTCTAAAAGGGAATAGGATTGTTGAATAGGTAATATTAGAATGATTTTTTTCCTTCTAATTCACTACCAGTATATATATTTTTTCTTCATAAGATTTGATGTTCAAGACACACTGTAAGAACAAAAAATTCTATTGGGATACCTCATTTATCAGCAAAAGTTACTGTAAAAACATACATTGTAGATATCATACATGTAACTACAAGTAGTTGAGAAAGTAATCTTCCTTCCCATAAACTTTTGAACCAATCTTTCAAATTGCCATTTCATGATCTCATTTTGTTATTAGCTTCATATTCATAAAATTAGAATATTGCTGATCACATGATGCAGTTTAACCATTGAAGCAAGTCAAATACAACTCAGCACATTCCAAAGCAAGCAATAGTAAAGCTATTGATGTAGATGACAAACAAACCTCAATGGGACATAGACTTTGCCTTGCACAGATTTCATTTGTCACTGTGACCATTACTGATTATACCAGCATTGATATACTGATAAGAACTATTCAAACAAGTTCAGCTCCTAATGTAAGCTGATCTATTAATATACTAACAACAGAATGATCTTGAAGCCATTTTGATTTCAACAGCTTTAAAGAAAGATGTGCGTCATTTCTTTTCCCTAGAATACATACATGAACAGAATTCAAGTCTTCTGGTGACAATTTGTTAAATATGAAGACCATTTTGGACTGAAGAAAAACTATGGATATTACACATATCCCTCACAATCCCCATGCTGTATTTTCCTCTGAATTTCTATATTTCATTTACAGAAATTACATATTCTCACCATAAAAATTGAGAGAAAATCAATTAGAAATGCAACAAGTGAAGGCACCCTATTATAGAATCAATCATCGCAATTACTTACGGCTATAATCACTAACATCCCAATAATTGCGCGGACAGATATTGAATTATGTTTGATTGCTGGGGTCAGAACAAAGAAATACAGCCCGACGACAGATCACGGCTTTCAAGGTCATGTGATCCCATGGCTAATTACTTGTCCAATATATGCCAATTAGGAGACACATCATGTTCAATTATTCCAGCCTGTGAAATATTTTCTCTCACGCAGCTTAGCTGGAAAAAATCCACTTGGTTGATTACAAAAATTATGGATTAAATTTAATTAAGAATGAGTATATTTTGAGTACAGATAATATGCTATACATAACAGCACGTTTACAGCTCTCATCACTCCATAGGATGGCATGGGGTCACTTTAATACAGTACAGTGTTTTTGTTATTTTTTCTGCAAAATTTCTATTTGGGGTAAGCAGAACAGATGTTACAGATGTGAATTAAAATGTAAGACCTTCCTTTTTCTTTGAAAATCAAATCAGTTCAGCTGAAGCTCAAGAAGGGCTAACAAATTAAAGAGTGCAAATCAATTAATATGACACATTTGGATGAAACACCTTTTACCACACAGAATATATTGCTGCTATTTTTTGCTAGAAATAAATGCCCCTCGTTTATCATTTAATTTGATAGACATACAAAACAGAAATAAAATGATAACAATAATAATACTAATAATTTTAAAAAATTAATTCCTAAAAAAATAGAATTTATTAAAGGAAGCGGATCCCTTTTGCAGTCAACATCAAATTTTGTAGAACTTTGCAGCAATTGTGAATATGTCACATATGTCCTATCTGTGAAGTTTAAACGTTAGCAGTGTCCTACATGTAGTAATGTAGTATTCAAATTATGCAAGGAAACCTGTTTACTGTAAGACACTATTGAGTGGCTGACTGGCTTCTTTTTTTCATTGGTAATAACATACATGAAATGAGCTGTAACATGAGCATTTGTCTACATCAATAACCCACTACTTGTTGGCCAAAATTAAATTAATTGAATCTTTGCGATGAAATCCCTATTTAGTATTTTTGTTAAGGAGAGGATACATTTGGCCTTGAGCATAAACTCAGCCTGATATGCTATTCCAATGGTTCACTGGATATGAATAACAAATTATGATCAGAGTTGAAATCATAAAAAAGCAGAATACTAAAATAAATACTGACAATTTCATGTTCTATTTTGAAAGCATTGTTTGATAAATTTTCTGCTCTAATAAATCAATTTTCAAACTACAGAAACATGGTTTGTTTAGAGCGGGAAAGATGTTAACTCTGTATAGTACATCTGAATGATTTAATGCTCTCCTGCTCCAAACAGACAATTCTAGGCATACCTCATATTGATGTTGAGTTGTAAGGGGTCTGCAAGTGATCTGTACAACCACCAAAATGTGGCATATTTTCTGACCTTTAAACAGTACGGTGTCTGTTCAACTTACCTGTAGAGAAAGATAAAAGAGAAAGAAAATCAGTTAGAATGTTAAATTTCAGGGTACAACTTATCAGCATGATTGTATTGTAATCAACAAATTACAAAGCACAGCTCCATGAAGCTTCTGTTTCAACTCTACATGAGCTGTACCACACACTACATACACATGTAACCCTATACAAATCCACACCTAAAACTAACCCTAACCCTCATCCCAACTCTAAAACCAACCCTAACCTATAACCCTATATCAATGATGAAATAAAGCCTTGGGCTAACGTCACCAGAGCAAATGTTGGATCAGATGTTACATCATGGTGACAGCGGTGGGATACACACATAACATATTGAGTGAGATTTTTGTGATTGACATGTGCATGTACTCATTAACAACCACAGTCGTAGCTTAACTTATGGAGCTCCTAATATATCCCTCCAATATACAATATTCTCTATGGGAGGAAACTATTAGAAGCTCCATGAAATAACCTCCTAATCAGAAAAAGACTTCTGCTGTTGAGACTGTATCTTTTAATTACCTATGGATATGCAGTTGTACACCTACAGTATGCTAGCGAGTGATTGGTTACTCTAACCAAATGTGTCAGTCTTTTAGTACAGGTAGTTCCAACCATTTATGCAAGTTATGCTTTTCAATGGAATGTGATTTCCAGAAATTTTTGTTAATCCATTTATGTTTTCATGGTTCAAAGTTCAAACAAAGTACATGTAAATAAATTTAAGAAAAACAATTCAAAATTACAAGCATGTTTTTCTAAATATGCTAACTCCACTTAACGAGCTCATGATTGACTTTAACTGCTGAAATCATCAAGAAAACTTTTACATCTTCTTATGAGAGCAAGAGGGATTTTGCCTCAATGTTAATTGTTATTTGCATGTAACGCTCTTCTGGCTACCAATAGACAAAATTTGAAGTTGATTCAACCAACTTCACAAATATAGTCTTGAAAAAGTACTTGTTAATGCGAATTACAAACAGGAAATGGTTCAGATTTACTACTGTAAATTCAAGCAAATCCATGCGTCATACTTATTGTCCAAAGGCTACTTGAAATGTGCATAACATTTTGAGCAAATAGAATAACAATGATGTCAAAAATATATCTGTTAGACAGATTGAAGAAGATATCAAATATTGACTAAAATGCACTGTAACCAGGAAATTCCAGGATGAATTGGGACGAAATAAGAAATATGTCTCACAGAAATGTTATTTTTCGCATATAATAAAACCAGAATTAGTATTCTCACGCCTATTTCTGAAGCTCGGATCAAATCACATTCCCCTCCAACGCTCTCTTATTATCTCTTTTATTCACTGAACTTCCTCATTTCTGTATGGCATTAGACATACTTGTGTAATAGAATTGTAATCATTATGACATGTATTCTACCAATAGGCCCAAGCACTCAAAATGAAGAAAGAAGGCTAAGCATTACAACAAAATCTTTAAAATATATTAATCAAATAGTTGCCCATTTCTCTATTGCACAAATTTAATAACACATAGATTAAAAGAAGGGCCAAATCAGTGTTTGGTGTGTTACCATAATAAATCACCTGCGCACGTACTGGCCAAATACAAAAATTTGTGTTATTCCTCCTGAAAAGCTTTGATAGAGATATAAAGACTCAAGTTCAAGTCTATTCAAAACAATTTGCATTACATACATAGTATTGGATTAATGTTTGGCTATGGTTTATGGTTTATAAGTGAAGCGTGAAGGAGTCGTCCCCAGGGACTGCCTAATGAAATGACATGAGAAGCTTGCGTTCCTCATTATCTTCCAATTATACCAGGCATTAGCCTTCGTTAGTGGGGTATCATTACACGCGACTTCACAATCCAAGCTATCAGTCTGCTTTGAGAGGAGGAGGAGTAATGAGCGTGGGAACAAATCCTTTGAATAATACCAGAGACCAAATCTTTTTCTTCAAGCTTGGTTGTGTGTACAATGATGAACGCGCTGTTGTATTCAGGCATTTCATTCATAACATTGAGCTGGATTTGCATATAAAGGGCATAGCAGATTAAAGCGCTTTTAATTTCCAAAGCCTATAGGGTGAGGCTTTTTATCTTGTTGACTTCCCATGTACATGGTAGATTTCAAGACCTTCTTTTATTTCTTGCTTTTTTTAAAATCTGTTGCCTCCCCATGTCACACTCTGTGTCTGTCTATATATCTCCCCATTATATGTACAATTTACATTCTCTTTCTTTCTTTTTTCTTTCTTCCTTCCTTCCTTCCTTCCTTCCTTCCTTCCTTCCTTCCTTCCTTCCTTCCTTCCTTCCTTCCTTCCTTCCTTCCTTCCTTCCTTCCTTCCTTCCTTCCTTCCTTCCTTCCTTCCTCCCTTCCTCCCTCCCTCCCTCCCTCCCTCCCTCCCTCTCTCTCTCTCCCTCCCTCCCTCCCTCCCTCCCTCCCTCCCTCCCTCCCTCCCTCCCTCCCTCTCTCTCTCTTTATCTCTCTCCTTTTTTTTTCTCCCTCACTCCCTCTCTCTCTCTCTTTCTCCATCCTACTTTTGTTCTTGTTTTTTAGATTGCTATTTTCCAATCAATTATTTTTGTCTGCATACATTCATAGATATATTATAGACCTAAGCTGACTTTCATCTTTTCTCGGCCTTTCTTTTATTCTATCTTTCCACCAAAAAAAAAATTGTCTTCAAAGCGGCTCTTGTCAAATGTTCTCTTCTAAAAGGTGATATTTTTATATTTCTAATTGACTTTAGCTCTTTAAAATATCCCAAGCTTTTTGGTGCTTCCAAAAGCTAAATCTGTGTATACTGTATAGGCCTAAATACAGTTTAGTGGCCCTAAGTATTTTCTTAGTAATGCATTTTATTTGTTTTTCAAGCAACCTTCCCACCTAGGCTAGATCAGCTTACCAGAACTGGGCTACAAATTGTGATGTTCTATATATTCCAGGTTCATCCATTCATTTAAATCCCATACCCTAATACTATATACCATTCAGACTCCTTTCCCATACATGTAAACCAATACAAGACGTAAAAACTAATCTTGTGAATAAATAGCCAACGCATGCGGAAGAAAGAGGGCAAACCAGCAATGAACTTCCTTTCCTTTTCCCTTTAATTCTTCACCTGCAACTCTTTCACGTTTTCAACTTTTCTCACACGCCTATTCACCTCTCTCCACTGAGGTAAACTCTCTCCTTTCCTATTCAGAGATGGATGCCCACCATCACCGTGGCGCGAAAAGTGCTTCGTTGCTAAGCAATTTGTGGGTTTTCTTACACATTTCCCACCAATTTGATTTAAAGAGCTATTCAAATTCACATTACCGGTATAATACTATCCTTTTCACGTCCTGTTCCCATACATGTAAGTTTATACCCACCTGGGAAACTGATCTCTCACATAGAAAGAGAAACTTGGAAAAGCCCTTCTTTTCTATCTTCATCCTTTCCACTATTCAACGCACCTAGTCTAGCGAAGGAGTCTCGAAGATCAGACAACTGACAAGATCACCACTCATTCTAGTGGCCACAACCTTTGCTGTCCGTCAGATCCTCATAACTCTATCAACATCATATATGCAGTTAGATAGCAAGTAAGCATCACTTGCTGAATGTTACGTACCATAAAACAAATGTTTTTGTACTTGACTTCATAATTTTTTTTTGATTTTTAAATATCACCTGTTTGATAGTTTAAATACATTGTGCAGCTACACTTTTGAATTTGTTGACAAACAAAGTTAGCTCAGGGCAAGCATTTTGGGATAACACTAGCTTCCTTTTTTTTAATTGACTGTCATTATACTGCTCATGTACATGTACGACCTTATAGCATCTACTGACCCTTTAGCCTTAATGTAAATATCAAACTAGTGGGCTAGGTTTTGCAAGACTACACCTCTAAAAGTAAAACACTGACTGGAGAGAAGTACAAAAGCCCCCCTCCCAGTTTCTCACGGTCCCCTCATTCATTCCCAATTTAACCCTTCAGCTGCCCAGTGACCTTTTTCATGCTTTTCCTTCGGGGCATCTGCAGGTACGAACCAAGATTTGTGTGGTTTGAAGAGGGGTAAGATGGGGTAAGATGGGGTAAGAAGGGGGTAAGAAGGGGGTAAGAAGGGGGTAAGAAGGGGGTAAGAAGGGGGTAAGAAGGGGTTAAGAAGGGGGTAAGAAGGGGGTAAGATGGGAGTAGTATAAAGGGGGTATGTGAAAGGGATAGGATGGGGGTATGAGTGAAGGTAAGCACAATTTCTATGCTCATACATCCAGGAAAGTTTGGAGCTGGAGAGTCCCAAAATAGTGCAGGCTATTCAAATTTTTTGTTCGTAGATATGTCTGGTCTAATTGTAATGCTACCCAATGAATGCAACAATTAATTGTTGAAGGGAAATCCAACCCTTGTAATAACTTCATTGAAAACTTAAAGTTTAGCAGATTAATGTTTTCTTTTTATTATTCTGTCATGATAAAGGTTATGATTGATGCTAGACTAGTAAACAGCTCAATGTCAAAACAATATTGAATACAGGGAAAACACAATATATAGAGGGAATCATTTCTATCTTGATCGTACCAAGAAGCTAGTAACTTCTTGATCGTACTGCCCGTTTGCTCTCTGGATGCAAGAAGCTAGCTTTAGGGAGGTCAGTGCTGAGCACCATTATATAAATCCTACAACAGGTGAACAGATTTAAGGATACCTTTAATACCTGCTCCATTTATATCTAATAACAATCATACTTCTTCCACGTCTTTGTGGCATACTTGTCTTTTTCTGGCAGTAACTAGGGGAAGAAATGCAATTATATGAATCCCTGAACAGGTGAAGATTAAGAGGGATGTCTTCATCATCTATCCATCATCCTTAAAGAGATCATCCTCAAAAGGATCATCTTCAAAGAGCCTCAAAAGGCCGGTCCTCATATCAGCTCGAGATTGCCAAATAACCCGCTATTTTATCCTAACTATCCCGATCGCAAATTATCCAGCTAATTTGCGTCT